CTTGCCGTTTGCCATGTGACAACGTTTTGCCATTTGAGTAAATAATCTTAAAACTATTGCTACATTTATATTGAGATCGTGATTTAGGCTTCGCGAAGATTTTGGCTAGATTAAATGCGAACCATGACATATTTTGCATTGTGATAAAATGCGTGTGGGATTTACTTAATATAGTAAACGATCTATTCTAATTAGAGGCAAGCACGTACCGTACGTATCTTGTTAAACTAGCGAGATTTGGATAAACCTTATACTATATATGATTCGGAATGAAAATTTCTCTTTGCAATCTGCATACATTGATGCTTATTACAGCTATTAGATAATGTGATTACGTATATTGAATCCGCAACTGCAGTAACAATAATTTTTAATGCATGGTGCGAACGAATAATAAACGGAAGTTTTTTTTTTGTTTCCTGAGAAAATAATGAAATATTATCGACGCTCTGAATTTATTAGAAAATATCGTTATATTCAGTTAGCCATCGCGGTGAAATGTTTTTTGTTAGAAGTTGCGAGAATAATCGTTTGGGGTGTGCTTACTCACGAAGGGATAAAATCATTTTTTCACCGACAATATAGTAGCTGTGATGGGTGAGCTACTGAATAAAAATTTAATGGATTTTTGTCATGCATTTAACGAATTTCTGGAATCAATCAGCCGAGACTTTTCTTTGTCAAATGTATATAGATTTATATTCTTCATTTCCGGATGCTCAATTATCTTGTTATGTAAGATCCTAGAATAATTTGTAGTACTATGTTATCACATTTTTCGACAATTAATTGAATTTATTCAATAGCACTTTATCTCCATAATTTTGATTTGCTCTTTGGTTCCAAAATGAGCATTTTGTTTGATCTGTACGTATTAAAATGAATGTATCATTTCATTTCTGAATCTAATGCAACCTTCTTTTATTATATAGAACCATGGCCCTCTTCTGGAATAGCCTCCGTAAGCATATGATGCATCTATTAGAAATTTTTTACTCTCTATAGCTGTTTAAATAATCTATCATAATCAACCACCAAAGAATACATCCTCTACGGGCCGCTTTTCCAGGGAGCTCCTTTAACTTTTACGTTTCCCTTCCATCCCAACAAACATTGGATTGGGTTCAACTGTGTCACTTTTTATGTTATCATGTCTGGTTCTATCGTTAGTGCATCATTATCTCAAATGGCCCTCCATTTTTCGTGGAAGTTAAGGAATGAAATTATGTATTTGACAAATGATGCAGAGAAAGTGAATTGTGACTTAGAGAGTCTCGAGGAAACGAATATTGAACATATGGAAAGCGGAGAAGGAAATAAAGATATTCGAAATATTGTTAGTTGAATTACAAATGTATTAAGATGGTTATATGACTTTTGTCATAACTTTATTATACGTAATACGCAATACAGTTTTTTATTAGAATGCTGTACTGTTATGGGATGTAATATATTTGAATTTCTAAAAGGAAATAGAAAACTTAACAGATCGTACAGGTTAGGGAAAAAGATAAACAAGAAAGAAAATAAAGTAAAAAAAAAAAAAAAAGGAGAACGTTTGTATTAATATCATAGTTTTGCACGCTGTGGATACTTCAAAGATAATAAAGTTAAAGGTTAAACTTGTATCTGTTTTACACAAGTGCTCAACTGTAACTTGTATCACGCGACTAAAGGAAGGACAAGACGCAGGGTTCAGGGACATAGTCGACTATGGGACAAAATACACGCCGGAAAAGTCGAAAACCGTCTCAAGTGTTAAAGCCTGATATCTTACCTTCGTGGGACGTTACGTGAGACGAGTCACACAACAATACTAATACAGTATTTTATTTCTCATATGCTTAATATGTACAAACAAGAATATCCTTTTAACCAACATTATGTATCATTTAATAATTAATCGGTCGGAAGTACAGTACTTTTAAAACTTGAATATTTTATTTCCATTGTTAAATTAGTTCTTCCATTCCGAAAGCTATAATGGAATAGTTTGAGAAGATTAATGTCGTTCATAAAATTCAATGTGTTGCTGTTCAACAAACGAATCAAAGTATGCTGCCGACCAATAAGAATAGTCGAATGTTGTTATCTTTTGGATTTCGATGTTAATGCATAAAGTTTAGTGGTTTTCGATCACTACGGATTAAATAAAAATTAAAAAGAGAATCGATCAAGCAACAGATTCATATTATATTACCTCCTGAAATACTTAATTCGTATTGCCGAGAGTCAAATTCTATAAAAAGAAAAGATGCGTATTAACAACGAAAAGAGTTTATGATGGAAATTATAATAATCTTTTACCTAAAGTTAAGTTTCCATATTCATTCACGTTGGGAAATGTGTACAATTTACTAACTTGGTTAACAACTATCCTAGGAATGGGTGTTGTAGAGAGACCATCTTCAAATATATCATGCTTGTCCTTTTCATTCATAGCTTTGTTTCTGAATAAATTCACGATCCCCGTTTTCAAACATTTGTGCTCAATTAAATTTGATTTATGTAATTTCTTGAACATTTCGTCAAGTTCTAAACATATTATTATTGCATTTGGTCGGTTGTCCTGATTAGGATCCCAACATCGCCTCATTAACCGAACATATTCGGCAGGAATATTTTCATGAATCTTGGGACGCATGCCATTAATAATCGCCAAGGCCAACTCATAATTATGCTCCGTATTAACGAATGGGATTTCTCCAGTGGCGATCTCCCACATTAAAATTCCCAAGCTATATATATCAGACCTTATACTGCATTGTTTTCCACGTAAAACTTCTGGGGCAATATATGGAAGATTTCCATAGATGCTGTTCAACGGTTTGTCTAAGGGACCACAAAAACCCATGTCACTAATAAACCAGTTATCAGCACGGGCCTTATATAAAATATTGCCGGAGTGCAGGTCTCGGTGAATAAATTTTTTTTCATGAATTTTGCGAAGACTGTCGGCTATATTTCTGGAAATTCGGCATTTTTGAATCCAGGTCATCGACAAGTGATTCTCTGCCAAATATCGCCGTAAATCGCAATTATAAGCATCTAACACAAAGCATATAATCCCCGCTTTGTAAATCTTTTGTTATTCCATAGCATTTAACTAGATACCGCGATGTGTTATCAAGGACAAATTGCGATTTAACCTGCATTATTCCATTACAATATAAAAATTAAAGCCCGTTTTGTGAGATTGATTTTGCTAAAAGCATTATCTAACAAACCTCTCGGTACCAGTTTCCATCTTTTGCAGAGTTTCTCAATTTTTTTAATATGACTTTGTGCCGACCAAATCTTTCCAAAGACTGTGTCTCATGATTCCATTTAAAATATGATCCAACTTTCCATATCGCTGTGTATATTGTAGCGTATCCACCTTCCGTCTTATACACTATACTCTGAAATTGGTCGTAATCGATCCATTCTACGATGTAATCAGGTTGAACAGTCTTTTGTTGGCATTCTTGAATTAACATATCAATCTCGTCATTTCCAGAGGACCAGTTTTCAAAATTATTCTTCAAGTATTTTCGAATGCACAACTCACAGAAGTGCGTCGCTTGGCACTTATTATGACAATCACTGCATTGACGCTTTTTGCTTGATCTTTCGATTTTAACCAACTCGTAATGTTGTTGAAGCCGAACGAATAAACTTTGTTTTTCCGAATCAGTCAATGAAGGATCGTTCTCGAAATGACGATGAAGGTACTTTTTTTGACGGTTTATTTCTCCAAGTAGAAATCTATTAAATATATTGCAGTTCAAAGATGCAAATGCTCTTTGCCAAGCTTCATTTGTCTTTTCATTATATATAATATCATGGGAAGACATTTCTAGGTCAAAAATTCGATTTCAAAAGTTCTTATTCAAAATACCCATATTTAAACGAGGTACGGTATATTATTTACACTGTCGGGAACCTGTTTGACCAATTTGGGCTGTTTGCATAGCGTATAATATATTGATGTCATTAAGTGCACATGGTTCAAAAATGGCGCAAATATAAAATCCTCGCATCTATAGATAGTTTAGCATTTTTCTTTTTGTAGTTAGTTTCGATTTCGCAAAAGTATCACAATAGATTGCTTTTGACCAATCAAAATAAAATATGAAAAATATCAAATATGTAATTCAAAAATAAATGAAATAAAAAGAAGTCAAAGTTTTAGTTTGTTGAAATGAAAAATTTTAGTTAAGAAAAAAAGTTCAACATTTCGTAAAATATTTTTCAAAAGTCAAAAATAAATATTTCTTCGGGTTTATATTAAATTCAATTTCACCTGTTTTTTTCATTTTATTTAGATTAAATAATATAGTTGTTGATTCGCCATTAAACATTCATAAAAACAAATAAATTTTTTATTATTAAAATCAAAGAATATCAATACTATTAAAAATTTTTTTTCAAAAATTTATAAGCAATAATGTATTATTTAAAAGTTAAATTTGAAAAAGAATAATTAATACATAAAAATATGCTATTTTTTTTTTAAGATGAATAGACACTCAATGCTATAGTTTTATTGAATTATTATATTCAAACCATACACTTGCGGTCTTATACATGTCAATATTACTACTAATTGCAAGTTTAACCATAACCAATTCACCTTCTTTTACCCAGATATCAACTTACATCACATGGGTGGGTCCATAATAAAATATGCTATTGATTTACAGTATAATATAAAATATTTATGAAATAAAAATAAATTATATTAATAAATTATATTTAAAAAAATTTTTTTAAAAAAAATTAACATATTAATCAAATTATTATTATTTTTAATATACAATCTGATCAATGTCTCATGTTTATTAAATCATATTAAACCAGTTCAAATATAAAGATAAATAAATATTTATTTATTTATTCAATTCAACTTATAAATAATAACTTTTCTTGTTTTTTTTTCTTATTTTATTAAATATATGAAATTAGGTTGATTAATGAAAATATACAGATTTTTGTTGTTATAAAATATTAATTCTTTAAAAACAATTGTTTTTTTAATTATTAAAGAAATAATAAAAAAGTTTATTATTAAAATTATAATTAAATAATGATTTTTATATAATATGTATTATTAAAAAGTATTGTTTTTTTAAATATACTGTATAAATAAATGAACAAATAATGTTTATTTATTTTTTTAAAAATAATGATAGTTAATACATATAAAATTTATAATATAAAATTTAAAAAAATTTTTAATACAATAAATTTAAACAATACAATTAATAAACTGAAATCAAAAAAACATGATATGAATAATAAATATAAATAAATAAATAAAAACCAATGTATATTATTATTTATTAATATTTTTATTTTATTAATATTTTCATGATATATTTTAATAAATTTATTTTTTTAATATATAAAAAAAAGATTATTTAATTATTTTGATAAATAGAATAAATTAAAAATCTTATCAAATTATATTATTTATTTTATTAATATTTGCAAAATATATTTTATTAAAAATATATTTTAAATGTTTTTAAATGTTTCTTTAAAAATAAATAATAATAATATAATTTAATATATTAAAAAGTTATTGATATTTAAAAATTTTTTTGTATACAACTTTTTATATTTTTAAAAATATTTTACTTTTTTAATTTTTTTGAAAATTAAAAAAAAAACAAACTTTTTTTTTTTTTTTTTTTTTTTGGGCTAAGTGCGATACACACGAGACTTTATTTAATCATTTTTACAGATTACATGATCAACACATGAACAGTCTACAAACTTTTTTTTTTTTACTTTTTAAGATTTTTATTTTCTTTATATCTTTTTTATTTTACTATATTTTCAAAAATTTTTAACAAGTATATTAATGCATTGGAATAAAATCTCTGGTCAAGAAAAAGTAAAATTGATATTTTTTTATTTACATAATACTTATAATATTACTATCATAGCTTTTTTTTTTTTCTTTTTTTTTTATATAACAATAACAATAACAATATATTTTATCCAATTTATATCTACATGATTTATTTTTAAAACTTATATCAATAAATATTTTTTAACAAAACAAGTAGCAAGAAATCAGGAGAACAGAATGCACCAAACAAAGGATTTCTTTGTAGATATTATTTTTATTTTTATAAAACTTGTAATATAATTACACAGCTTTTTCTTTTCTTTTCTTTCTTTTATATTTATCCAATTAACTCTAAATAAGTATTCATAACTGTTCAGGTCATTTAACTATCATATTGGTTTTAAAATTTTTTTCTAATATATATTAAATGATTATTGTAAGCAATCTAGCATTTACTATAATTTGCTGTTTATTCTATCTTAAAATTTACACATAAAAGATGTTTCTTTCATAATGTATATCATTTATATACAAAACAAATAAAGAAATGATGTTTACCTACTCAAAAAAAAAAGCTATTGATATTTATAAACATATATAACAACATTTAAATTGATATTATTACTTAATTGTAAAGTTATAAGCAATTTATTGTATTTGGTTAATCTCCCCCAACATGCTGGATCGCGTAATTTTTTAAAAGGCAAAAACAACTTATTTTCCACTATGCTAAGATTCTACGATTTTTGCGCACAAGAATGAATGTATACAACATCAAATTCACTAAAGAAAAATAGCATATACTGTATACTGTAATTCGAAATAAATAAGGAACAGAATCTCAAGTTTTACCAACTCTCGTTCTGAGTATGCTAATGATGTTATCGTAATTTAAATTTAAGCAACCATTACGACGCAATTCATCCCGGGTTGGTGGTTTTACATTTCTAGCTTTTGCAAGATCTAAACGCAATTTTTCCAAAAACCAGCACATCAGGTCGTTAAAATGGCTTGTGCAGTGAGGTTCAAATTTCCAATCTGAATAAAATTGAGTTTTCACTTGAGCCCATTTTCCCGCGCACGTCCCGTCAATATTATAAAAAAGTTGATTGTCTTTCCATTTATGACATTGCACCGCAACAAGGTTACGCGTAAATAAATAACCCATTCCCGTAAGACCTTCGGGTTGATGACTAGTATGATGTAATTTTGTTACGCCACTATTTAAATGATGATCCCGAGAACCCCAGCAAAGAGCCCCACATCTATGACATGCTTCCGTACACCCAAGCCTTTCCATCACCGATTTATTTTTGGACGGCTCTTGGAAAGGCTCTTGTTTCGGATAACGGTTATTCCCTTTGGTTCTAAGCTCTTCCTCAACAGTGAGATGAAATATTTTAAAATCTTCTTTGGTGAACGAGCTATGAAAATTCAATTGGTAGTCTATGTTATCAACTTGGGTCATATAATCATTTACAAACCTTTTGATTTCATCAAAACTTTTACAGTTGCGAATATCTTGAAGAACTCGATGGAATTCATCATCAAAAGTTTCATCAAATTTTTGTTGTGGATTTCCTACTGCATAGTTATCAACCGTATTTCTAAACCAGTTTTCTATGCATCGTTTTGGACCCGAAAAATATCGCATGGCTTCTTCCTTATCACCGTTTTTAACTTGTTCGCCCAGTTTCTCAAAGTACTTGAGTCTAATTGACTCGGCGCAAGTCAACCAAGGAATATCACGTACCGCTACTACTCGTTCATTATCGCCTGCATTCATTGCCTTTTTATTAATAACCCTCAATAGATAATCCCCGCAGATATGGCCCTCGGAAACTAGCGTATGATCGTATCGAAGCATAGTATCAATTACTTTTAAATATTCCTCCTTCTTCTGGTCAAACATTCCAAGCGGAGTATTTTCTTTATTCCATATTTTCTGTAAGCCCACAATTACCGGCTTAAATTTTAATAAGGCGTATAAGTGAACATTCCACTTGAAATCTGGTAAAAAAGTTACAAGAAGTGACTTCGAAAAACCAGTGAGGATTTTGTCTATGTTCATCTTCGCGTCACGCATAATTCCGGTGTAAAAATGTCGAGATTCCCTATGCGCAAAGATCAAATCTGCTAAATTATCAAGTTTCTCCTGAAGTGCAATTATTTGCCCGTCCTGTAAACATCTTAATGAAATATGATATTTTTTATATGCCGGACACTCGAAGAAATTCGGAAGAACTCCATATTTGTACTTGACACGAAGATTTTGCGGCATTAACTCATACACGGACTCAAACTCATTATCTATACATGCTGTCACAGGTATAACGTTATTCTTTGATATTATATGATCCCTCAATAAGTCCCATATCTCTTTAACTTTTTGTTCGCGTTGATGGCTAGATAGTCTTCCGCTCGGCATGCCTCTTAACATCATTTCTAATTGTTTGTTTATGATTTCGAAAGAATCAGATGAAATCCCTTTTCGAATAAATCCAGCCTCGAGCATTTGATTAAGTTTGATGGATGAAGATTCACGATTAAGTTTGACGTAATTCTCAATCGTTTGCTTAGTTTCCGTTTCACATTTCTCGTTATTTTTATTCCCAAGATAATCTTCTAATTCAATTCTTTCCTTTTTTACTTTTTCGCATTCTGTACAGTTAGAATTTCCGCAATTCGTAACATCTTTCACCCCTTTTTCGACCAGTTCCAAACATTTCTCACGGATGCGCAAATTTACGTTTGAATTGTCATCTGCATTCCAATCCTGAAGTTCAGAGCGAATTTTTTGCATGATCAATTCCTCATGTTTTAGGAACGCCCTATCAATGGTCTCTTTCAATTTGGTGATTTGTTTACCAAGATCAATAAATTCATAAATTTCTCTGATGTTTTTGAAACGAACTGTAAAGTCCTCGTGAGAGATCGCGTTCCAGTAATTTTGTGTCAACAAATACCAATCTAAAAATTTGATTTTCCTTTGCGAAT